GACTAGGTGCGTTCTACATGGTCTCCCTGAAAACAAGACCAAGTTGCGACAACGAGTTCAACCCACTTCTTTTTTTTCATTTTGTCCAAAATATGCATGCAATGATAATGTGTGCTTCTGATGATTGGTGCCAGTTTCGCCAAAACAAACCTACCTCCAGAATCAGTCAAAAATGAATTTTCACGTTGCGACTGTTTCGTCATAGCCTCTAAAGACCAAGGGGCTCATGGTCGAGAGATTATGTCCTGTCACGGCATAAACAAAGTATCGTAACGGGATAGATGAACTTAAAAACAAAAATGTGCAGAGGACTAGCGACTAAATGTTTTAATTGGAAGCAATTTACTCGTTTTCGCAACAGACCATTTTGTCCGTGCATTTTTGCTTATTCTTAGATTGCCCCAGCCCCCGAAGCCTCAGCGAATTGGCAACAATCACAACTCCACCGTAATCCTCTCTCGACTTCAATTCTCCTTTTCGCATTACACGAATGTTGGGTAAGCATCAATTTGGTATGGGATTCTTCGAAACCCAGTCTTTCTTCAAAAACACGGAGATATAATCGCATATTTGGGCAATATTTCCGCCCGTCGCCGTTCTTTCGTGTGCGTTTTGATCAATTTGTTTCACTTTTAACACGCAAAATCTTCTACACAATCCAGCAATCACATCTTCCTTCACTTTTTCGCTAAGACCAATTTTCAAATAGTTTGTATGTTGCACCACTTTGGTTCTAGAAGTGTTGACGAGGCGGAATATTTAGACCGGTCGGAAAGAGATGTTGCTAAATGCTCCAATCTCTTCCATCAGTCTTTTCAAGGCAATCGTCTCATCATAATCATGCGAGGTTTGATAAAAATAACACAATTGGACGTAAATGGCATAAATAGTATTTAGTGTTTTTATGGCGAATATTGCATCAGCAATCTAAACACACGAAAATCTACCACCTCGCACAGACCGAAACGGGATTTCGACAGCGGGTCATGAGCATCTTTAGCGTGGCAGAGAAATGCAATGACATTCTGAGCTGGGATCAGATAATTTTGGAAAAAGCCTAAATCACCCGAAGCCGGTCAGGTTGACTGGATTCTTGGTTAAGAATGAGACCAAATGAAAATCATAAAAAGACAATTTGCCAACATAAGTCTACGCGACGTCAGGCTCAGCACAGACGCGCATCAGTTCGCAACCGAATGGCAATAGGGCAAGCAGAATAATCGGCCAGAACGGACCGGCATACACGCGTGGGTGCACATGACTGTGTGCTGTGGAATAATAATGAAATGGAGTCGGGCCGCAGTCTCAGCCTGCTTGGAAGAGGTCATAAGTGCACAAATTGGCCTTGCAAAAGCCCCTTCACGTAGTTAATAGGCGAACCAGTCCAGTCGGACGGAGTCTCGTATGGAGCCCGGCCATGTCGTCGGTCAGGGATGAAGCAATGCCGGCCGTATGACCATAAACGCAGCATGACCAACACACAGCAACACACAGGCACGCAATTGCACAGGCTCATTTGAATTACAGTTGCGATAGACTGAGGCGAGGAGAGGAGGTCAGAAAAAAGTTAGGAAATCAGGCCACCAACGACAGGCTGAACAAGCCTACACACACACGCACACATACGCAGAAACACACAAAGGTAGGCAGTGTGAATTACACACAATCCGAGTCACATAGCCCATAAATGGAGAGGTAAGATCTTCAACTGCACGCAAGACAACTGCCCGGCCAGGTACAGTCTTATCAAAAGGTGAAATACA